GGGGGGGGGGGGGGGTGGCAAGAAATTGTTTGCCCAGGGTCCAATCAGTATTAAAGACGGCCCTGCCAGAGACAAATCCCAAGGTTGGTCTTCCAATAGTTTTTCCCCTAAAAATACAGATAAAGCCGAAAGCTGGACTTTAAGCGTGCTTAGTGCCAAATTCTTATTAAGGCCTTCCTGTAAAAAATCTAAGACTATTGGGACCGTCGGTGAGACTACATTCCTCTGATTACACCAATAAGAAAACACTTTCCAGACTTTGCTGTAAATTTTTCTCGTAATAAACTTTCCACTAGAGAGAAGGGTGTCAATTACCCTATCTGTTAGTAAAACAGTCTGGGGAGATAGAGATAGAAATTCTAGGTGGTAACCCACCTTCAAGAGATTCAGAACATGTTGACTTTCTTTAATCTGTTCCCAGCGGGAAGACCTGGCTAAAACCTTGTCAAGCCCTGAGCCAAACAACAATCCCCCTTCAAAAGGAAGAGCACAAAGTCTACATTTTGACGTAAGGTCCCCTTCCCAGGATTTAAGCCAAATGGCCCATCTAGCAAAGTTAATAAGGGCTCCTGAACAAGTTGTAGCTCTAGCTGCTTCTGCAGAGGCATCTGCCAATAGGCCACTGCTCTCCCAAAAACCAATAAACACTCTAAAATCTGTTCTGGCGGAGCCCCCTGAGAAACATGCATGCACGAACCTGAATTAGCTTCCCATGCCCTAGGTAGCAAAGCCTCTGCTTTACGATCCATATGATCTTTTATGTTACCCGCATCTTCAAAAGACAGGGCAGCTTTTTTAGAAACTTGTGCCAGTGCTGCATCCAGTCTGGGATATTTAAAATATTTATCTTCCTCCTTGCCAAAGCGAAATCTCCTTTTCCATGATCTAAATGACAGAAATGTATTTCTGACTCTTTCCATTCACCTGCAATCAATGCTTTTAAAGACTGATGAATTGGAAATACTCTTCCTGCTGGCTCCGCAAGACCCCTGTATAATCTATCTTGTACTGCCTTTGGCAGATCCGGAATCTGCTCAGGTCACATATATGGCTTGCAATAAATAATCCATATCCTCTAAAGGAAATAAATGCCTAAAAGGTCGAGACTCTTATGTCCTCATCTAAAGTCTCCCCTTCTTCCAAAGAACTATCTGAGCCGGAATTGGAATTGCAATCCTACCTGTCCAAATTTTCCTGGAAAGGATTTGATTTAGCTTGAAAACCAGAAGGACCGGGCATGACGGAAAAAGGAGGGAGCAGATGAAGTTGGCATCATTTCAGCAACAATATTTTTAAAAGACTGCATTGTAGCTACCATCTCAGACCTCATAGAATCAAAAAACCCCTTCATAAAATTAGAAGATTCACTAGCTAACAATCTCTGAATGCATAAATCACACAAGGGCTTTGCATAACCAGCAGGAAGTTTAACATGGCAATTGCCACAGCGCTTTTTAATCTGTTTAGTAGCTGGGGCAGAAAGTGGAACAGAACTGAGAGGTGTCGATCTCTCTGATGAAGAGGGATCATAGGCAAGAAAGAAATTAATAACATGAGCCCTGAAAAAAAAAGAAAAAAACCCTTACACTGTATCATTCAGCAACATGGAAAGGGTACACTCACCGCACCTTTCGACCTGGAGACAGTGCTTGCCTGCTTCCTCCATTAGAGCTGCACCGTTGTTGCTCCCCCTTACTGCTGTCCCGGACCGGCCACCGAATAGGAGACGTGCGTGCGTCCGTGCGTCTCAAGGCAGATATCGCGCAGCGGAAGTGAGGTAAGTGCCGGCTGCCGGAAATTACGTTATCCGGTTCCGAGAACGAGGCCCGGAGCGCAGACATCTCCCCCAAGTCACCAAGTGCGCTCCACCACCGCCACTCAGCCACTCCACCGGCTACTTACAGGAGCCCCGTCAGACAGGGCATTACTGCCATGGCAATTGGATGTCGTCCTCTTTGGGGCAATGAGGGGACTACTATCCGGAATCTCTTCAAGGACAACCCCTCTGAACTACAACAAGGCCTTAGGTTGTTGAGAGAACCCAGGACAGAGCTGTACAGAGGCGGGACCCGCGACCACAAGGCCGACCGGTCAGGAATAAAGAAACAAACGTGGCCTGGACGATAGGAAACACAATCTAAAACTGAGGGATGAGGGAGGTGCGAGGGGTTTTTAACTGTTTCAATTGTGTTTCCTGTAGAAGGAGGAACCAATCATCTCTCAGTTTGCTGTCCTAGAAGACAATTGGAGAAAAGCGTTTAAAGTGTTGCCTATGGGAAATTTTGGGTATTGTCGTTTTTTGCAGTTTTGTGGGCGAATGCAATTTAAAGGCTTGACATGTTTTGGTATCTATTTACCCAGCGTGACCCCATCTTTTATATTTTACCAAACAAATTGGGTATTATATTCTGTTTCTGTGCACTAAATTTAATTTAAGTGCATTTTATCCTAAAAATACTGGTTTGGTAAACATTGGCACAAATACCGTGCAACATAAAAAATTGCAACTAGCATTTTTTTATTCTACAGGACGTTTTCTTTCAGAAAATATATCATTGTTTGGCATCTGAAGCTGTTTTCTAGCCAAAAATTCAGATTTGATCATGTGTGCGCAAATAGTGAGAAATTGCCTTGGACAGCAAGTGGTTAAGAAATTGAAAAAGTAATTCCTATGTATTTCCTGTTCAACATTGTCTTCTTTTATTAAACAGCAAACCTCCACCCTACCACAAAATGGCCGTAATTCTGGAACTTGTGGAGAATTGGTATTGAATGAAGATGAAAGGAAACTTCTTTCAAAGGAAGGAGTAGTATTGCCTACCCAGCTGCCACTCACCAAGGTAATTTTAAAAGCCTCACCATATCCAGGTAGCTTTAAATGTTGATGAATAACATACAGCCTATGATCACAATAATTTTTACAGGTTCGAATTATACCAAACTCTCTGTCAGCAGTTTTTTTGTCTTTTGGGCTGACGCATCCATTAACAGAGATCCTTCTTCTCCTTTTTTTTTTTCTTTTATTTAATTTTTTTGTATGGTAAACACCCCCCTGCTATAAGCCTTATGTGGGTTCTAGGCCACTTTCTCAAAACACCAAGGGGTAGGGATTGACCTGGACAGTCTGGGATTTGAAGGCTGTGTCCTGGTTACATAGCATCTGAGACCCGGACACAACATGTCATGCAGACAGGGACAACTGGCTTCCCACTGAAGAATTGACTTGGCTGTGATATTTACATATGAATGGACTGTGCTATTTACATATGAATTGTTGGTTATGTGTTTAGATGAAGCACTGTGAAGCACTGCGATCTTGAGGAATGCTGAATTAAGTTTTACTTGCTTATAAGAAGATTACATGTGTGTATACAGCATCATGCAGGAAACATAGATCACAGATAAATGTGCATATAGAAAAACTAGCATAAACGAACATTGCACTACAGCGCCATCTAATGCTGAAAAAGACATAGTTACATAGTTACAGTCAGCGACACAATCAGTATGCTGTTGCATCTCCAACACCCCTTCTCCAGGGCCAGATGTACTCTCACTGCTGCCCCAAGGCCAGGTTCCTCAATGTGCTCCCCTCCCTACCAAAACCCCACCCAATGGAGAATGGCAACTAGATGGCGGGGGCGGCAGGGTTGGTTTTAATTATTTTGTTTCCTTATTTTTTTACCACTTTTTTTAATTATAATTATTTTTACTTTTTTGTATTTATCAAATGATCTTTTACTTTTTTTTAAACATTTTTATAATTTACATTTTTATCACTTTTTTATTTATTATTTTTTTACATTTTTTATTTAATTATTTTTTACTTTTGATGAATTTTTCTTTTTTATCACTTAACTTTATTGCTATTATACAGGAGCCAACAAGTCCCTGTGTGATTAGCATTTGGAGGTGACAGGTTCTCTTTATTAACCTCCCTGGCGGTATTCCCGAGTCGGGCTCGAGGTTAATTTTCAGTACCAAGAGTGGTAACCCCGAGCCAGACTCGGGAATGCACAGAAAAGTGTCACTTACCTTGTCCCTGCGAGCCTGCAGTGTCCTCTGCTGTACGCGGCCAGCCGATGCCGACATCTGACTTTTGGTTTCGTTTTCGGGTGTCACAGCGGGCGGCGGAGCCAGCGGGAAATTCAAAAGTGAAAAGTTGCAATGTACACAGAATACACACAATACAATGTAATCTCCTATGATTACACTTATGTATCAAACTATTTCACTTCAATTTTGTCCCTAAAGCTTTGTCGAGTGCCCTGCCTGCACTTTTACTGTTCTTTCTGCCTGGAAACTTGTGAACGTCCTGATGACGAATTTCCCAACGAATCGCTATATATTTAGGTGAGTTATTCCTAAGATTTACTAAGAATTACAGGCCTACAATATAAAACAACAAATTTTCCACGAAAAACAATGTACCGCTTTGGGATGCTAAAATCCGGAATAATCATACCGCCAAGGAGGTTAAACCTGTCACCTCCAATATAGGAGTTTGAGCACAGTACTGTGCTGGAACTCCTGCGACAGCTGAGATGGGAAGTGCAGCTCTCCCATCTCAGGGTTTACACAGAACAGAGTGGAGAACGCTCTCCATCCGGAACTACCTTGCTGTGAGGGCGGGTCCCCAGAAGAGCTGTGCTGCCCTTCTACTTCCTGCTGCCCCAAGGCCAGGCCTCGGTGGCCTTGTGGGAAATCCGGCCCTGCCCTTCTCAACAGCATATGCATTGCTATATGAGATTTAGCTTCTCTCGAAGGAAACTGGGACGATCCTTTGGCAATGGCTTCATGAGTGCGTCCGCAGTTCTTTATTCTGATAAGCAATATTGCATATCGATAATAGGGATGGTCTCGATGTTCGAGTTGAACATCGGTAGTTCATGTGTTCGGCGAACACACAAACTATCAGTGCCCCACAAGCAGGGCCGGCCTTAGGGGTGTGCGAGCAGTGCGGCCGCACAGGGCGCCTAAAGGCCTAAGGCCGGCCCTGCACACAAGCTGCTGCGCACCACACAGTGCCTTGTGAAGCACTGATTGGGTAAAGCAATGCACCTGACCACAGGTCAGCTGCAACACTTTGCCCGATCACGGCATAGTGCACTGTAAAGGTGCCCATACACCTTACAATTATCTGCAGATTTTCTGTGGTCAGATGGAAAAAATGCAACAGATTGGCCCAGGTGGAGATTACTCCATCCACACAGTTAAGTGTAGATGGAGGAATCTGTTTCCACCTTTTCCATCTGACCACAGAAAATCTGCAGATAATTGTAAGGTGTATGGCCACCTTTAGAGCCATGATTGGGCAAAGTAATGATGACTTTGTCCAATCATGGCTCACAGCTAAGTCCTGTCAGATGCTGGACAGGACAAATGTAAACAGTTGGACGGAGCTAGTGGTAATGTCACCGCTAGCTCCGGCCAATTGTTTATATTTTCGATCGCTCGCCCCCCCCCTTTCCTGCAACGCCAGGCCAGTGAGTGCTCGGATGAAGGGTCTGGTTAGTAATTTTAGGGGGGATTCCATGTTTTTTCCCCTGCCATTTTTGGGGGTGGGGGTTCCTCTTTGATATTCCTACCAGACCTTAAGGGTCCAGCTTAACATTTCTACCAGACCTAAAGGGTCTGGTATTGTTTGGAAGGGGGGGATTCCGCACGCTTTTTTCCCTCCCCTTATAAATGTCATTTTTACTGCAGCAGGTTCTATACATTGTACAGATGTGCCTCTTTGCAAGCAGTTTAAGAGGACCCCACCCCCAGGGCACGATATTTAAAGGAAATGATAATTTTTATTATTAAGTGATGTTAAAATCACTGCTACTTTAAAAACTATATTTTTTAAAAGTGTTTTTTTCATTGATACATGTCCCCCAGGGCAGTACCCGAATCCCCATACCCTTTTTATGGCCAATAACTTGCATATAAGCCTTCAAAAAGGGGACATTTGATTTTTCCGAGTTCTGGTTCCATAGACTGTCATTGAGTTTCATTGACATCACTAGTCGATAATAGCTTGCTCATGAGTGTTCATAAGCAGATGATACTTCACGTCGATGTGCTTGGTTCTAGTGTTGACCCTTTTTGATTGTGTCAGCTTTTTACAATCCTCGTTGTTTTCAGAGATTGGGATGGGGTTTGACATGTCTATACCCATGTCCATTAAAAGCTGGCGAATCCATATTCCTTCTTGACAAACATTTGCTGCTGCTGCTGCTGCTGCTGCTATGTATTCAGCTTCAGTTGAGGAAAGTGCAACACCTCTACTCATGCAACATGATTCATTAATATGCAAATTCCGCAAATAAGGTTGCTCAAGCATTGCTTGCTGGTTTTAAACCTTCCCACAATAGGATCTTCAACATTCATAAAATCTTAAAATGTCCATGTGCTAATGAAGTTATGGGAATACCCACAAGATGTGTAATAAGGTGCAGGGCTGGGACTGTGGAAAAATAATTAGCCGTTTCATACCTATTTTCATTATATTTAAACTATAAAGCCACTGTAGCGCTATCCCAATATAGGATAACACTACCGGTGGCTCTGAAGGGGTGATCTACAGTAAACTGAACTAACGGGTCTCCCTGTCTTTCCTCTACAAGAAACCTCTACTATAGATCCACAGCACACCAGCACACCTTGAGTTACTAGGGCCGGTTGCTATGGGTTACAACTAGAGGTGCACCAAAATGAAACCGAAATAAAACAAATGTCAGGCCAAAACCAAAAGCGAAAATGTTTTTTATTTTAACTTTTTCAAAAAAGTTTATTTTTATTTATTTTTGATAAACTTTTAAATTTTTTTATATATTCATTTTTTATTAAATATTTTTATTTTTCACTTTACTTTTAGGGGCTTCAGGGAAATATTAGGGGGTCTAAACATGATATTTCCCTTTTAAAATAGAAAAAGAGATTGAGTCCTGAATCTCTTTTTCTGCAGCCCCTGTTATAAATGAACAGGAATCCTCTATGAGTGTTCCTGTTCATTTATAACATGAGGACAGGGTATGTTTACTATAACCACAATCATGAATGAACAGGAGGTGATGTAGATCACTTCCCATTCATTCATAACTGAGGATATAGTAACATACTATGTTCTCAATTACCGTATTTTTCGCTCCATAAGACGCACTTTTTTCCCCCCAAAAGGAGGGGGAAAATGTGCCTGCGTCTTATGGAGCGAATCCCGACGCCCGAGACATGCAGTTTCGGGCGCCCGGGCGAGTAGTAGGAGCCACTGCTCATTTAATACGAGTGATCTAATGAGATCACTCGTATTAAAGCCGAGCAGTGGCGGCGGCGATAAAGTTCAGCAGTAGGAGCCACTGCTCGTTTAATACGAGTGATCTAATTAGATCACTCGTATTAAAACCGAGCAGCGGCGACGATGGAGATCATCACAGCGCCCCTGTCTCAGCGGTCACTAACTGCAGCTTCTGTCACAGCTTCTGTCATAGAAGCTGTGACAGAAGCTACAGTCTGTTGAGTGCTCCATAAGGCGCGCCGGACCTCCCTGCGTCCTATGGTCCGGTGCGTCTTATGGACCGCAAAATACGGTATTTACAAACACTCAGCGATCACTGATCGCTAAATGTTTGCACTGACTCTCCATCCTGACAGCTGTCACAGGAGGCTGATCGAGCGGAGATCAGCCTGCTGTGATAGCGTTGGCTGTCTCTGCCGACACTGCTTTCCTCTGATCTGTGACAGGAGGCTGAGCGGAGCAGGGAGGAGAGACGCCGGCCGCTCACAGCGATCTCCTCCCGCAGCGCTTGGCCGCCTGTAATAGTTTCTCTCCTCCCCGCCGGGACACAGAGCAGCGCCC